GTAATTTTTAGATGACAAGTAATTGGCCACCCTTCCTGAGTATCCTAAGATTGTTGAAAGAGGTTTGTTAGAACTTGTCAGGTAGCAATACCCTGGAACTAAATAAGCTGGGGTTTAACATTCCTCATATAAAATTCTTAGATGTGCGTGACAGATGGGAATATTTCTCATTTTAGAATGGTCATGCAATTCATTGTACGTATTGGATCATACCCTCCTATAAGGAGTCAGTGTATCTTAGTGAAGGATATCACTATTGCTTTAGAAAATGCTTGAATGTGGGAATTTTCTCCCTGATTAGAAATACAAAGGTTATATAATCCTGGGGAGGATTTGATGTTGAATTATTATAAAAAAAATCTGTCTGATTTTCAGAGTTTTTGTTTTAATTTTGGAAAAAATAATTAAAGGATTTGAAACCTGTACTTGGTTATGTGAGCTTGAAAAGTTTCTTTGTCTTCTGCAATCTCCATTTTTTCCAGTTGTAAACTAGGAACAATAATTATGCAGCTGGGCTTAAGCAAAGTGCCTCGTACAAAAGGCTCAATGGATGGTAGTTATTTGTACTAACTGCCTTCTATTCCCACTCATCCAAAACTAGGAATACTGAATTGTCCCAAGGAATGCAGAGCACGTGATGATAGTGAAATAAAAGCTTCAATGTTTTTTCTATGCTTAACCTAAGTTTTTCCTTTCAGAGACAATTTATATTTCCTCACTAGGTTAAAAGCATCTTCAGTTTCAAATCTCAGGGGCTTAGTACTCCTGTCACAGAGTAAGCACCTCAGAAAACTATGATCGAGGGAGTGAGTTAGAGCTAAGGGTATCTACTGAAGATCACATTCAAAGATACTCTAAGACAGACTATAACCAGGTCACAGCATTATTCATAATAATACTCCGGAAATCCTAGCATGCCTTTCTTTGTGTTTTGACCGCATGAAATCTGCTCTGCTGAATCAAGTATTGTGAAGACTGTGCTGGCCCCTAACAGGTTACAAGAGTTTTCATGACTTCTAATGCTATCTGAATCAGAGCAGTGACTGTTCTGAAAGAATCAAGCTCATTGATTTAAACCTTCTCACGGCATGATACATTGTGAATCTTCAGTCATTTATCTTTGGGGCTGGCATTGGGATGGCAGTAGGTTAAGTGGCCAAATACAAACTTAGCATGCCATTTTGGAATATGGCTTCAAGTCCTGTCCATTTCATTTCCAAACAACTTCTATGCCAGTGTTTCTGGGAAAGCAATGTACAATGGCCTGCGTGCTTGGCTCTTGCCACCCACTGGGGAGATCTTGCTGGAGCCCCAGGTTCTGGGCCAGTCTTGGCTCTTGTGGTGAATTGGGAGTGAAAACAGTGAATAGAGTTTCTCTCTTTCTCTCTCTTTTCCTTCTGTCTTTCTGTGTATTCTCTTTCTGTCACTCTGCCTTTTAAATAAATAAACAAATCTTTAAAAATAGTTTATCCATAACTATAAATTCAGTAGTTACAAATAATATCAAGTTTTTCCTTCTCATTTGGAGTGGAACTTGATTGCATCTTAATTTATTTCATAGTAAAATGTGAGCTGAAAATGGTTTTCTATTCTGTATTTTGTAGATAGAAACAGGAAAGCACTTTAAAAAGTTTATGCAAAGTGGAACTAAAAGATATTTTCATTGGTGTCAAAAACTATGAAAATTATGCATAGTATTTTATAACATGGATTTTCAACTAACTTTTGAAGACATGTTATATTAATTTTTTCATTAGACAAGTATTAGTATTTTTGGTGTTTAATATTGCCAAGACCCATTGGACTGTCATTTAGTGCAGGGTAAATTGGCAACATTGTGTCTAAAAAATAGAGAAGTTCTGTGTTCTGTACAACATTGATGTCCTGGGCTTCAAGTTATGGCTTTATGCTATGAAAGGCTTTTTGGGAATGTCTGAGCAATGGAGAATTATATAGAGCAACTTGCAGATGGATACTTATGACATGGGCTGGCCTGAGATGAGGGTGGTGTTGGATAATTTTCTTTGCAGTTTCCTGTGTATCTCTACTGCACCTAGAAATCCATTCTATTTCTAAAAAAGATTTATTTATTGTTCCTGAAAAGTCAGATTTACAGAAAGGAGAAGAGACAGAGAGGAAGATCTTTTGTCTGTTGTTTCACTTCCTAAGTGACCACAATGCCTGGAGCTGAGCCGATTTGAAGTCAGAAGCCAGTAGCCTCTTCTGGGTCTCCCATGTGGTTGCAGGGGCTAAAGGCTTTGGGCCAACCTCAACTGCTTTTCAAGACCACAAGCAGAGAGCTAGATGGGAAGTAGGGCTGCCAGGATTATAACTGGCACCCATATGGGATCCTGGTGTGTGCAAGGCAAGGACTTTAGTTACTAGGTTACTGCGCCAGTCCCTGTAAGTATTTTTGATGCTACCCAAACAAGAAGGCAAGGAGTGGACTCAGCAGTATGTCCTAGGAACTGATTTACATTTTGAGTTAACAAATAATGTGCACAATTCAATGATGCAGCATTGCATCCTTGTTTACACATTTTCTCTGGGTAAAGAAAATGTGTCAGCTTACAACTTAGATATTGCAATTTTTTCCTTTTTAAAGGCTTATTTATTTTGATTGAAATGCAGGGTTACAGAGAAATGGAGATACAGACAGACTGATTCATTCTCCAAATGGCCACAATGGGCAGAACCAAGCTTCTTCTCTATGTTTCACATAGGTGCGAGGACCAAACAATTTGAGCCTTTCTAAGCTGCTTTCTAGGGCCATAAGCACGGAATTGGGTCAAAAGTTGAGCAACCAGGACTTGAACCTGTGCCCATATAGGATGCTCGTGCCAATGGTGCTGGCATGTTGATTTTTTTCTTATACTAGGTTTACCACTAGCAAGTGAAAAAATAGATTCACAATATCCAGTGCAACCTGAAGAACTCTTTTGTTGTTGTTGTTTTTAAGATTTATTTGTTTATTTTAAAGGCAATTAGAGATAGAGCAAGTGCAAGAATGAGAGTGAGTCATGCAAGTGCTGGAGAGTAATCTTCATCTGTTGTCTCACTCTTCAAATGGCCACAATTGTAGGGACTGGAACCAGCCAAAGGCAGGAGCTGGGAGCTCCATGTGTGCATCTGAATCTCCACAATGCAAAGCAGTGGTTCAACTTTTTGGCCCATCACCCACTGTTTTCTAACATACATCATCAGGTTACTGATTTGGTGTTCTAATACTGTATGCCAGTGTTGCAGCTGGCAGCTTACTCAACTGGACCACAACTTCATCCCCTGGAGAACTCTTCTAATGGTGGGTTAGGTACTAGGATGGCTGTAGGATAAATGGGAAGCGACCACTGAGAAGCTCCAATGGAATGTACATTTCATCCTCGCCACCTCTCAAACTATTGAATGGAGGCATTGTTGCCAGTTTTCTTCTAAAAGAAGAAAATTACAGATTAAATAGCTTGATTACATATGCAGAACCAGAAGCTGCAGTGCATCTTGTGCTGTCTGCCTACAATCATGAGCCCTCCAGACAGAAAAGGGAAAAGTCAAAAGAATTGTTGTATAATACCAAAGCTTGATATCTAAGATTGAGAGACAGTTGAGAAGGGCTCCTCAGGGAAACTTTATTAGCTGTTTTTTTTTTCTGTCCTTTGTTGAATTTGAAATTCTCATAAAATGGAGAGAAATAAAGACCTCAGAGGATGCCCAAGGCATTATCCAACCTTGTGACTCTCTGCAACCTGTGTCTCAAGAAAATCAGGTGTTCCCTGCCTTTTTGTGAAGCAAGGCTGACTTACATTGAAAACACAGAGAGGTGAAATGGGATGTCCAAAATCTGAGGCATTTTGAAACAGATAAAATGTGGAAGAGATATATGTAGGGTTTTGTTAAGAGTGGATTTTAGATGTTGTTTCTTGGCATTTATTAAATAACAATCAAATTATAGCTGCCATGGGAAGATAGAGTGGCTACTTTAGAGTCAAATGCCAGAGAAGGTATGGTGAAAGTATCATTTTTACATTGCTTGTTTCACAAATTCATATAGAAGTATCCTTCATGTCTGGACAGATAAAGTATAGAAATGTTCCAATGCAGTGCATAAGTTTGTGCATTACTCCAAGATTGGAACTCAGCTGCAGGAAACACAGGTTTGGATTTTACTGACAATAGTGGGTGAGAACACACAAGAAACAAGCCCTTGTCTTTGTGTCTGAAGCAGCAGGAGAACACATGTTATGGCAACATACACATCCAGTCACGTTCCCCAGTCCCTCATATGCACGTACAAACAATAGTGGCACCTGGCCCAACCTACAGTTAAGTAGCAGAGTTGTAGGTAGCAGTTGGAGTTGTATCCATTTTGATTGATGGTTGCCATGGCACAGGTTGCCATAGAAACAGATATGGAAGGATAGAGAGGTATGGGAACCTGGTAAACCTCATGTTCCACAAAATTGCCTTTCTTCCTTTCCCCTGACCTGACACCCACACACCTTGCAGACATTTATTTGTCTTTAGTGCATAGCTGCTCAGTCTTAACCACGTCTTGTTTTCCCCCTGAAATCCCTGATCTTGTAAGACTGGGGCTCAACTTAGAACTGTGGTGATTATCAAGTACAAAGGGGCTGTGGGTTGAACATTGGTGCATAGCATCCTGCCTCTTCCTGTGTTCAGGCCTAATCTGCAAGGGAATAGTACTCGGAGGTTTTTCCGGAATCATCAGGCTAGGAGGGCAATTCGTTCATGAATGGTTTTATACCCTAAAGAAGGAAGCCTCATGAGGGGATTTTTTCTCCTTCTATGCTATCAAGACTCAGCAGGAAGGTGCCACCTGTGCATCAGCGAGGAGTTGCTCCTTGGATACTGGTGCCTCAATCTTAGACTTCCTAACCTCTAGAACTGTAATAAATTCATTTCTACTGCTTGTGAGCCACTTGGTTTATGGTATTTGTGCTGTTACTGCATAGACAGATTAAGCCACCAGGTCAAGGGGGAATCAGAGGCACTGAGGCTGTTACATTAGCTTATATGTCATTCTTGTGCAAAGGTCATGCTAATCTCTGTATCATTCCAATTTTAGTGTATGTGCGGCCAAAGTGAACACAGAACTAGCCTGTATGTCACAGCTATTCTTTCAGTGGAATCATTACCTGATCCGCAACATGCTATATGTGACTCAATAAAATCAAATGGATTGGTGTTAACTGCTGTAGATAAGGGGGAAGTATGCTTTTTTTCTCCCTAGAGACTATATTTTCAGTTTAAAATTTTGAATCATAAAGTATGACTTTTCAGGTGAGGGTAAAGTGATTTACTGGAATGACAAAAATAGCCAGTATGAAGACTCTTCATAAAGTTCCTAGAAAATCAGTTTAATAAGGAAGCTATATATGGATTTTCAGCTTTCTCATTAAAATAAATTTATGCTAAAATATCTATCTACCTACCTACCTACCTACCTACCTATCTACCTATCGTAATTTGAGAAGTAGAGAAACAGGGGAATATCCAGAAAGAGAAGCACACACATGGGGGAAGGAGGAGAGAGAAATCCTATCTGCTGATGAACTTCCAAAGGGTTCAGTTGCCTGGGTGGACCCATGCTGAAGCTGGGAATTTCATTTGGTCTGAAGAGGAACCTCAATCCTGTTCTCCCAAGTGATCGGTAGACTCCTGACCTGTCCCGTCACCTGATGCCTTCCAGGATATGCATTGGCAGGAAGCCAGAATCAGGAACCGGATCCCAACTGGATCCTAGTCACTCTGATACCAGATGGGTTGTTACAGGTGGTAACTTAACTACAATGCCAAGCACCTATTCCCTTTCATATACTTCAAATGCCTTTATATTAATAACTGCAATCAAGGAGGTAAGCAAAGATGATAGGAAAAGTCTCATTATTGCTTTATTCATTCAAGTTGAGTCTGTTTTTAGGATTTGGAGTTATTGTAAATATGGTGTTAAAAAAATAACATTAGAATGCCTGATGATTTCACTCTGTTCATGGAAGTTTATCTTGGACTTTTTGATTGTTTTTTTTTTTCTGAGATAGCAACCACACATTCAAACAAATGCTGTTTTGACTGTGTCAGATTCCTTAGCGTACTCCCAACAATGATCAGAGAAAGCCACAGTGACTGATAGGAACCTGGACTGGTGCTATTGGTTCTTTGAAAGTACTTGGAGCATCAAACAGGTGGTGACAAGGTGCAGGCATCACCAGCCTGCAGTGCTACCTTCTGTTATACTCTGTGGAATTCTCTTGCTCAGTACTGCCAACTGCTTTCCTGGACAAAAGGAGTGTGTTATAGCCAAGTAGGACGGAAGAGGTGGTAAGATATGTTCTGTTCTTTTCCACTTTATTAAAATGTATGTCATGACATCTACAGAGCTGGATATATTTTTCACTTAGTTATTAAAGGCAAAGCTTTTAACACAAAAAAATTTTATAGCCCCAAATACCTTATGCTTGGTTAGAGAAATGTGAATACTGAGGAAAAGAAAACAAAATATCTTTATCTAGTAATTAAAATATATATATATATATATGTATATACACACATACAATGTATGCAGGCATGTTTCTTTAGTGGACTAAAATATTTGCATATTAGTGGATTGAGTTGTATTATGATGCCAGCAGGTGCAACTTGTTGGTCAGTTATCAGACAATGCTTATTTGCAAGGCTGTATCAAGAGCCATTATTCAGAGTGTATGTAAACAGATGTTCATGTGTTTTGGGATTGCACTGAAATTTTTGGACTCAGTCTGCAGAGTTGAGATAGAATTCAAAATTATCACTAGACTTTTGGGAAATATAGGCATAACTCTGTTAATGAAAAATGATCTTTTTCCTAGAAGCACCAAATCAGTGAATATGGGTAAAACCTAAAAGCTGAGAGTATCCTTGATACAAAACAATAGAAACAGTAGTAGGTGCTTTGATCTACTTATAATATCACCCTCTGATGTCCCCTAATAACGTATTACCTAGACCTATAGGCTCACTACCTCCATCTTGGTTTCTACTGTCTATGGAATATACAGTGATTTGAATATCACTTAATTGCTTCCTTAAATAATCTGATTATGGATTCAGATGGATATAATTCCAAGAGAATTGCACGTCTACTTAAAAGTTTCATTTCCTGAGATAAAATCCAATAACTGCATGACAGCCATTTTTTATTTTTGAAGTTACCTACTGTTTGGTTTTATTGCTTGTACAATATATTTCCTTCTAAAAGTTGAAAAGTGCTTTGAAATTTAGCTTTGTTTAATTTCATATCTAGTTATATGATTGGAAACTGGGTATGTTCCTGCTCCATTGCTGTCGAGAAATGGAGAAATTAGCCGAGTATCTCATTTTAGCTTTGTGGCTCCCTGTTTTTAACTAGAGTGGAGTTATGGATAGACTCATATTAGAGAAAAGAACCAGTAGTTGAAATTCAGGGCCAACTAATTTCAGAGCTTCCTGCCACATCTTTTCTTCTCACTCAGACCCTAAGTTTGGCCCTGCTATGGATGGAGTTGGTGGAAGAACATGACAAGATTGCAAAGAGTAGTTTTCCATCTTCTCTGCTTGGGATATTCACCAGTCATGGTGCCTGATAAATTTAGTACTTAATGCAGATTGTATGGTTTTAATATGAAAGCTTATCAGATGCTTATCTTATGCCAAACTATGTGAGTGTTGTTACTGATGAACTCCCTTTACATGTAATGAAAGGCAGATATTATGACTATTTGTTTATAGTTGGGAGAGATGAGATATAAACAAATCTAACACAATTTCAGATGTTCCACAACTATCAACACACAGTAGTGGCTGATAAATATTCTAGTTTCTGATTATAAAACTGGTGTAAGGTCTTAAACTAAGAGTCACTACTTTCAGTTCATTTATGAGTCAGGAAATCGACTTGCTTGGGAACCAGCAAGTAAAACAAACATATAAGAAAGCAACTAAAAATACAAACTATAAAGCTTAAGTGCTACCTACCACATGCCTTTCAATAAGGCTCAGAAATCCAGCAAAATACAAAAAAGCGTAAATTCTAAGGGATAGTTGCAATATAAGTTCAACCTCCAGCTTCATTATAGTTTTTAGTTATAAAATTTTATCTTTTGTGCCACCTTGTGCCCCCCAAAATCTTATAGTTTTACCCAGATAAACTGCTTGCTGTAGTCGGGAAGGGCAGATGCCAGAATTAGGGACTACAAGGTCAGCAGCTGAGAAGGCATAAACTAGACAGATTTAATTCTTTTCACAGGCTCTTTGTCCTACATATGAGTCCAGGGGTGTCTTAGGGCAGGAGGACAGTGTTCTAGACTGCAGGAGTCTTATTAGATTTAGGACTGCTTGATTTGTATATCAACAATGTGCTCATCAGCAAGCTATTTGCTTTTTCTAGGAATTAACACTGGGAATAGCAGGCAGTCCCTCCCTGGATCTCAAGGGCCCAGTATGTCAAAGCATCATAAAATACAGAAGATCAGAAACAAGTTATCAGTGCAACATTTCCAAGTAGAATCACTCAATAAAAGATGGTCATAGAGACTCTGAAGGAAAATTCACATTCTAAAAGTGGAGTGTGGAACTATCCAGATACATTGGGATGAATATATGACTAATTGATTCTCCCTGGAGAGAGAGAATCCTTTTAAAGAGAAAGAAGGATGGTCTGGTGCATTCCTTGGAATGCTTCTATTTAGGAGAAGGACTGGAGGTATAGTAAGAAGAGATCCCAGAGGTGACTAAGAAGATGGAGAGGATGAGTTCTGGAAGCACAGTAGTTGGTAAAGAGCCATCAGTCAGAGAATAAATCCTGAGCTGAAACCCAGGGAGTGGACAGTTAGGAGTGATGAAGGACTTGGCATTAAAATAACAGTATGTAGACACAGAAGTCAATTTGCAGGAAGTTAAAGCAAGTCTGGAGTTAAAACACACCCTTTCCCTTAGAGATTTGTTCTATTTATTGCAAAGGTGGAGATGAGAGAGGGAGAGAGAGAGAAATCTTCCTTCTACTCCTTTACTCTCCAAATGGCTGCATTGGCCAGCACTGAGCAGACCAAAGCCAGGAGTTTCTTTTAGGTCTGCCTGTGGGTTTAGGAACTTATGGTCTTGGACCACCCACCATTGTTTTCCTAGGCACATCACCAGGGAGCTGAAATGGAAGTGGAGCAGGAGGGACTTGAACCAACATCCAAATGGGTTGTTAGTGGTGCAGGCAGCAGATTACCCTGTACAACACAGTACCAGCCTCACGTATATCGTGTTTTTAGAAACGTAAGTACTGTAGGAAGGAGTATGTCGTTACTAGGTGATTCTTATTGGACAGTCCAGATCCCATTAACTGCATTTCTTTTTTGCTATCTGCATTCCTCTGATCTCTAAAGTGAATGAAATTTGTTTATTTACTATACTAGCATATGTGAGAATATTATATTACCTGCCTCACATTGTTTATACTAAACCCAATGTTGAGCATATAACTGTTTAGGATAAGAGTGGATGTACACTTAGAAGAATCCTTTATTCATTTACTGAGCCATGCAGTGCATATCTTTCACTTCATCCTCTGTATTCATTGCTTTCTGCTTGCTTTTATCAACAGGGACACTTAAAATTGTTTATGAGAAATGAAGTTAAGAGATATGTTTATCTTGGTGCAAAAAGAATTTCAAATTCATGCATATGGGAACTCTTTAAAGTAGTGATAAAAAATGAATGTTATAAAAACTGCCTGGATCTCAATATTTTTGGCACAGAAATAGACTTATCATTTAACTCATGTTTCCACAAACTTTATTTGAAGTTTCTCTTATATTAGCTATTTCAGAATTCACTTGGCAATTAGTTTCTTTCCAAAATCTTTTTCTAATTAGCTTAATGTAAACTAAGCAAATGGTTTGTGTATCTCAGTACATAAATTATGTATTTTGTTTGTATGAATTTAAACTATGCTTGATAAAACTTTGTTCTGCAAATGTTTCTGTATTATAATGTTCCCATTAGTCTTCTATCCTTCAACAAAAAATATTGTATATGCTGGGTAAATATTAGGCATGGCTTTAAAATGTATCTGGATCCATGGACAAC